TTTAATAAAGCCAATAATTCAAGTAAACGAAAAGTTGTTGTGTTTCAGAGGACAACAATGTGAGTATACGCTGTCGTTGCTAGTATCGTGTTATTTTCTAAAACCGAATTTGCATTATTTCTTAATAAAGATTTGTAATTTGATGAAACATCAGAACCTATAATACTACATAGTTTCGAAATCACCTAACATTTAAGTAGAAGGCGCCTTTATCAATAAAATCAATATTTTGGTACCTGAACGTTAAAGCGTTTGCGCGTCCGGGCTAGGCATGCGCACTATATGTCATGATTACTAGCTGCAAGCCAAAGAGGAAAGGCTCGTCCGGGACGAGCATGCGCATAAAGAATCTCGATAGGCAGCTCCACCCAGGTCGAGTCAGTGTCGATAAGGTAGTGAATTCGATCGGTTCTGTTGTGTCTCGGAAAGTTCGTTTTCCTTTGCAATGCATTTCTATTCTTGCGAAAATTCTTTCCTTAGCGATAGTTTTGAAAATAGTTCTTTAATAAAGCCAATAATTCAAGTGAACGAAAAGTTGTTGTGTTTCAGAGGACAGCAATGTGAGTATACGCTGTCGTTGCTAGTATCATGTTATTTTCTTAAACCAAATCTGCATTATACATATCTAAATAATGATTTGTAATTCGATGATACCTCTGGAGCTATAATTCGACTTTCTAAGTCACCAAACATTTAATTCGAAGGCGCCTTTATCAATAAAATCAATGTTTTGGTACCTGAATCTTAAAGCGTTTGCGCGTCCGGGCTAAGCATGCGCACTATATGCCTAGATTCCGAGCTGCAAGCCAAAGAGAATAGGCTCGTCCGGGACGAGCATGCGCATAAAGAATCTCGATAGGCAGCTCCACCCAGGTCGAGTCAGTGTCGATAAGGTAGTGAATTCGATCGGTTCTGTTGTGTCTCGGAAAGTTCGTTTTCCTTTGCAATGCATTTCTATTCTTGCGAAAATTCTTTCCTTAGCGATAGTTTTGAAAATAGTTCTTTAATAAAGCCAATAATTCAAGTGAACGAAAAGTTGTTGTGTTTCAGAGGACAGCAATGTGAGTATACGCTGTCGTTGCTAGTATCATGTTATTTTCTTAAACCAAATCTGCATTATACATATCTAAATAATGATTTGTATTTCGATGATACCTCTGGAGCTATAATTCGACTTTCTAAGTCACCTAACATTTAATTTGAAGGCGCCTTTATCAATAAAATCAATATTTTGGTACCTGAACCTTAAAGCGTTTGCGCGTCCGGGCTAAGCATGCGCATTATATGTCATGATTCCGAGCTTCAAGCCAAAGAGAAAAGGCTCGTCCGGGACGAGCATGCGCATAAAGAATCTCGATAGGCAGCTCCACCCAGGTCGAGTCAGTGTCGATAAGGTAGTGAATTCGATCGGTTCTGTTGTGTTTCGGAAAGTTCGTTTTCCTTTGCAATGCATTTCTATTCTTGCGAAAATTCTTTCCTTAGCGATAGTTTTGAAAATAGTTCTTTAATAAAGCCAATAATTCAAGTGAACGAAAAGTTGTTGTGTTTCAGAGGACAACAATGTGAGTATATGCTGTTGTTGCTAGTATCGTGTTATTTTCTAAAACCGAATTTGCATTATTTCTTAATAAAGATTTGTAATTTGATGAAACATCAGAACCTATAATACTACATAGTTTCGAAATCACCTAACATTTAAGTAGAAGGCGCCTTTATCAATAAAATCAATATTTTGGTACCTGAACGTTAAAGCGTTTGCGCGTCCGGGCTAGGCATGCGCACTATATGTCATGATTACTAGCTGCAAGCCAAAGAGGAAAGGCTCGTCCGGGACGAGCATGCGCATAAAGAATCTCGATAGGCAGCTCCACCCAGGTCGAGTCAGTGTCGATAAGGTAGTGAATTCGATCGGTTCTGTAGTGTCTCGGAAAGTTCGTTTTCCTTTGCAATGCATTTCTATTCTTGCGAAAATTCTTTCCTTAGCGATAGTTTTGAAAATAGTTCTTTAATAAAGCCAATAATTCAAGTGAACGAAAAGTTGTTGCGTTTCAGAGGACAGCAATGTGAGTATACGCTGTCGTTGCTAGTATCGTCTTATTTTCTAAAACCGAATCTGCATTATCTATACTAATATTATAAAGCTGAAGAGTTTGTTTGTTTGAAAGCGCTAATCTCCGAAACTACTGGTTCGAATTGAATAATTCTTTTTGTGTTGGATAGTCCAGTTATCGAGGAAGGCTGTAGGCTATATAACATCACGCTACGACCAATAGGATCAAAGATATAGTGGTAAATGTGTAAAAAACGGGAGAAATTATTTCATCTTTGAAGCCTTCCGTTGCGTGCGCCGTGAAAACGGTTCAAGATACACAAAAAATATGTATTAAAGAATAATAGCTCTTTTAATAATGTAAAAAACAGTTCGGGACGGTATATGTCTATCTTTTAAGATGAACTCACAAAAACCGTTTTTATGGTACCTAATTTGGTCGAAATAATTAGTTTAAGTTGTATCAATATAATAATATTAATCTTTATTCAAATAAACAAATAAATATGTTGTTGGTTAAGAGTACTTCATTGTGAATTTAAAAAAACGTAGGTTTTATCCTGAAAATTCTACGGGAACTCAACCATTCCGAAAACCCCGAAAGAACGGGAACTAAGTGGGAAGAACCAAAAATCTGCCGGAAGTCACTATTCCAGGCGGACGAGGTCGCGGCAAAAGCTAGTTTCTTAATAAAGATTTGTATATTGATGATACATCAGAACCTATAATACTACATAGTTTCGAAATCACCTAACATTTAATTAAAAAGCGCCTTTATCAATAAAATCAATATTTTGGTACCTGCACCTTAAAGCGTTTGCGCGTCCGGGCTAAGCATGCGCACTATATGTCATGATTCCGAGCTGCAAGCCAAAGAGAATAGGCTCGTCCGGGACGAGCATGCGCATCAAGAATCTCGATAGGCAGCTCCACCCAGGTCGAGTCAGTGTCGATAAGGTAGTGAATTCGATCGGTTCTGTTGTGTCTCGGAAAGTTCGTTTTCCTTTGCAATGCATTTCTATTCTTGCGAAAATTCTTTCCTTAGCGATAGTTTTGAAAATAGTTCTTTAATAAAGCCAATAATTCAAGTGAACGAAAAGTTGTTGTGTTTCAGAGGACAGCAATGTGAGTATACGCTGTCGTTGCTAGTATCATGTTATTTTCTTAAACCAAATCTGCATTATACATATCTAAATAATGATTTGTATTTCGATGATACCTCTGGAGCTATAATTCGACTTTCTAAGTCACCTAACATTTAATTTGAAGGCGCCTTTATCAATAAAATCAATATTTTGGTACCTGAACCTTAAAGCGTTTGCGCGTCCGGGCTAAGCATGCGCACTATATGTCATGATTCCGAGCTGCAAGCCAAAGAGAATAGGCTCGTCCGGGACGAGCATGCGCATCAAGAATCTCGATAGGCAGCTCCACCCAGGTCGAGTCAGTGTCGATAAGGTAGTGAATTCGATCGGTTCTGTTGTGTCTCGGAAAGTTCGTTTTCCTTTGCAATGCATTTCTATTCTTGCGAAAATTCTTTCCTTAGCGATAGTTTTGAAAATAGTTCTTTAATAAAGCCAATAATTCAAGTGAACGAAAAGTTGTTGCGTTTCAGAGGACAGCAATGTGAGTATACGCTGTCGTTGCTAGTATCGTCTTATTTTCTAAAACCGAATCTGCATTATCTATACTAATATTATAAAGCTGAAGAGTTTGTTTGTTTGAAAGCGCTAATCTCCGAAACTACTGGTTCGAATTGAATAATTCTTTTTGTGTTGGATAGTCCAGTTATCGAGGAAGGCTGTAGGCTATATAACATCACGCTACGACCAATAGGATCAAAGATATAGTGGTAAATGTGTAAAAAACGGGAGAAATTATTTCATCTTTGAAGCCTTCCGTTGCGTGCGCCGTGAAAACGGTTCAAGATACACAAAAAATATGTATTAAAGAATAATAGCTCTTTTAATAATGTAAAAAACAGTTCGCGACGGTATATGTCTATCTTTTAAGATGAACTCACAAAAACCGTTTTTATGGTACCTAATTTGGTCGAAATAATTAGTTTAAGTTGTATCAATATAATAATATTAATCTTTATTCAAATAAACAAATAAATATGTTGTTGGTTAAGAGTACTTCATTGTGAATTTAAAAAAACGTAGGTTTTATCCTGAAAATTCTACGGGAACTCAACCATTCCGAAAACCCCGAAAGAACGGGAACTAAGTGGGAAGAACCAAAAATTTGCCGGAAGTCACTATTCCAGGCGGACGAGGTCGCGGCAAAAGCTAGTTTCTTAATAAAGATTTGTAATTTGATGATACATCAGAACCTATAATACTACATAGTTTCGAAATCACCTAACATTTAATTAGAAAGCGCCTTTATCAATAAAATCAATATTTTGGTACCTGAACCTTAAAGCGTTTGCGCGTCCGGGCTAAGCATGCGCACTATATGTCATGATTCCGAGCTGCAAGCCAAAGAGAATATTCTCGTCCGGGACGAGCATGCGCATAAAGAATCTCGATAGGCAGCTCCACCCAGGTCGAGTCAGTGTCGATAAGGTAGTGAATTCGATCGGTTCTGTTGTGTCTCGGAAAGTTCGTTTTCCTTTGCAATGCATTTCTATTCTTGCGAAAATTCTTTCCTTAGCGATAGTTTTGAAAATAGTTCTTTAATAAAGCCAATAATTCAAGTGAACGAAAAGTTGTTGTGTTTCAGAGGACAGCAATGTGAGTATACGCTGTCGTTGCTAGTATCGTGTTATTTTCTTAAACCAAATCTGCATTATACATATCTAAATAATGATTTGTAATTCGATGATACCTCTGGAGCTATAATTCGACTTTCTAAGTCACCAAACATTTAATTCGAAGGCGCCTTTATCAATAAAATCAATGTTTTGGTACCTGAATCTTAAAGCGTTTGCGCGTCCGGGCTAGGCATGCGCACTATATGTTTAGATTCCGAGCTGCAAGCCAAAGAGAAAAGGCTCGTCCGGGCGAGCATGCGCATAAAGAATCTCGATAGGCAGCTCCACCCAGGTCGAGTCAGTGTCGATAAGGTAGTGAATTCGATCGGTTCTGTTGTGTCTCGGAAAGTTCGTTTTCCTTTGCAATGCATTTCTATTCTTGCGAAAATTCTCTCCTTAGCGATAGTTTTGAAAATAGTTCTTTAATAAAGCCAATAATTCAAGTGAACGAAAAGTTGTTGTGTTTCAGAGGACAGCAATGTGAGTATACGCTGTCGTTGCTAGTATCGTGTTATTTTCTAAAACCGCATTTGCATTACCTTCTTTATCTTCTATATATATAAAAATGGATTGCTGTTCCTTAGTCTCGCTAAAACTCGAGAACGGCTGAACCGATTTAGCTCATTTTAGTCTTGAAATACTCCTGGAAGTCCAGGGAAGGTTTGAAAGGTGAGAAAAAATTGGAATAATTGCCAGGAAAACCATAAAAACGCCCTTTTCTATTTCCCATACAAACGTTTTTTTTGACATTAGATTTGAGAACTAACTAATATGTCAATCATTCTGTTTGATTGAAACAGGAAAAACCTGATCATTTATGGCCTCTAAGATGGAATAGAGTTTGCCTGTTCAGCTATACCCACATACATATATAACTCTTGACCAAACTAACGCGGACGAAGTCGCGGGCAAAAATTAGTATATATATATAAAAATGGATTGCTTTTCCTTAGTCTCGCTAAAACTCGAGAACAGCTGAACGGATTTATCTTAGTCTTGAAATATTCGTGGAGGTTCAGGGAAGGTTTAAAAGGTGAGAAAAATTGATTCATTCCCGGGAAACCCTAAAAACAGCCCTTTTCTATTTCCCATACAAATGTTTTCTTTGACATTAGATTTGACAACTAACTAATATGTCAATCATTCTGTCGATTGAAACAGGAAAAACCTGATTATTTACTGCCTCTAGGACGGAATAGAGTTCGCCCGGTCAGGTATACATATATTACTAATGATGAAATTAACGCGGACGAAGTCGCGGGCAATAACTAGTTTCTTAATAAAGATTTGTAATTTGATGATACATCAGAACCTATAATACTACATAGTTTCGAAATCACCTAACATTTAATTAGAAAGCGCCTTTATCAATAAAATCAATATTTTGGTACCTGAACCTTAAAGCGTTTGCGCGTCCGGGCTAAGCATGCGCACTATATGTCATGATTCCGAGCTGCAAGCCAAAGAGAATAGGCTCGTCCGGGACGAGCATGCGCATCAAGAATCTCGATAGGCAGCTCCACCCAGGTCGAATCAGTGTCGATAAGGTAGTGAATTCGATCGGTTCTGTTGTGTCTCGGAATTTTTGTTTCTTTCGCAATCCATTCTAATTTTACGAAAATGTTCAGCGAGGGTGTGTATTAAGTGTTTAGTAAGCTCGATGAAAGTCAAAAATGTAGACGCCTCCGGGACTAACACTGAGACCTTGTTGTTACTATAAGATATTATTATTGTTTTGTGTGTTTCGTATGGCTTTCTATTGTGTAATCTTATTGTTTTTATTATTCTGTTCAAGGTGGGAGAAATCTTCAGAGAGGCTGGTTCCGCTTTCAATAAACTGTCCGAGATGACTATGTTGTTACATCCTATGGGTGATACTCAACCAGGGTGGGTGTATTCGGCAATAAGATAGAAAAATATATTTTTTATTAAATATATCCATAACTTTTTTGTTAGGGGCCTATTAAGAGATACAATATTATTAATTTTTGTTTTTACAGTGGTAAATGGACTGATGAAGAAATCGAAATGCTTCGTTCCTGCGTGCATCGTTTTGCTATAGATCTTAACAAACTCAGCCAGCACATCAAGGCTAGGACAGTGTGAGTTTCTTATAAAATTCTACATCTTAAATGTTGCAGTCATTTATTTCATTATTTCTTTTATATATGTAATTTATCTTGTGTGAAGTATTGGTGATACATCTTCAAATTTTCAGGTCCCAAATACGTTCGACTCTGAAGAAGAAGGCGTTCGAGGATGCAGGTATACCGGTGAGGCAGGTAAGCAGTACGGGGACCAACGCGCTGCAGGTAGTCTCTCCACTGAGCCTCAGCTCCGTGTTAGGAAAGAACGCCGAGGTTCAAACATTCACTAACTAATTTAAATTATATTTTTTTTTTCTGTGACGTTCCTTTATTATTTGGTTTTTATTTTGGTTAGTGAAGTTTGAATTTTTTTTCGCTGATACTGCTTTTTCATAACAGCGTTTTGTTTATAGCCTTCTGTCAGATATTTTTATTTTGGTGTGTCGAGTATTTCTTGTATTTATGAGGGCCTCAGAGCATGGACGCTGGTGTGAAAAATCAGTTACTCTCGCTCTCGGCCTTTGCATGTGTTATAAGAACAATTTTTATACCAGTATCTAGTAGCGTATAATAATTTGATAAAAGCCACTTTCTACCGTTTCACGTCGAAATGAAATGGCTTATAAAAATAATTTTGTTTTGAAATATCTACATTTTAAAATGTTATCTGACGAAGAGGAGCTTGCTTTTTATTATATTTTGAGTAGAATTTGTCTTTGCTTTTATTTTGTTTTTATTAAGATTTTGGTAGATTTATCAATATGTTTTAATATTTTTTTTGGATAACTGTAAGTATATTGTGTTATGTGGGATTGTATTATAGGTGACCTTGAACATGCTGAACGCTTCAGAGAACGAAGTTGATGTAGAGGGTTTGAACAACGATGTCAAGTTGGAGTTCGAAGCAGGGAACGACGAGGTGGCCACCTGAAACATGTATGGCTTTTCGTACGTCTAAACGGGCTAGCCCACACTACGGCGGGTGTGACAACGGTGTGTGTGAAATAAAACTGTGTTTAAAGTGTGCCGGTTATTCATGATTTAATAGTTTACATCGAAATTAAAATACGCGTGCTAGGTTCACTATTAGTGTAGTGTAACTGAATCCGTCTGGTGTTTAGATTTTTTTTTCCAATCAAAATTTCTTCCGGTCCATTAATGGAAAGTTTTAAGAAGTGACGCCGTAGTGTTTACACCTTGGACTAAAGTTACCCGTGAGTACGAATAAAACAGCTAAACTTGTCGGACGTTTAAATGTTACGTCGTTTTATTTAAGGATCGCATTATGTAATATGTGAATATTTGATTATTTAGTTGAATTGATTGATTATTTACATTAATATAATTTGATGTAGCACATATTTTATTAGCTTGAGCTTTGTTATATTTATGTTGTAAAGTAAATGACCTCATAATATGCCTTAAAATACTAAATAGGTAACCGTTTTAATACATATATTATACCGAGACACAGCAGATATTTGGTAGATATAATAATATAGTTATATAAGGTTATATTGAGTTTAGTAGATATTTTGATTTGACATTTAAATGTAAATAATTGAAATATAATTTTCGCGATAGTTTCTTCATTTCCAGTTGTGTGTTGTAGCAAAGTATATATCCTATTACAATCTTGAACAGACCTTTCTCAATGAAGATCTAGCGAAATATTTAACAGCATTAGTCCCATTTAAAATTATCTAATGTGTGTTAGAAGTAGTATTTTTTGGCGTGTTACTTTCTTATATGGTGTCGGAATTCCTAACATTAAACATCGTACGATCATAATATCTATCAAATGTAGTTTCGGCATTTCATCGGGGCGACCTTTCACACTTTCACAATATAACCTGTAATTAATATTAGACAAAGATATGATAACGTTGTAATCTGATGTTGTTATATAAAATAGATTTTATTGATTATAATATAATCGTGTACTGTTTTATATAGAGGCATAGTAATTGCGTATAGCGGTAATCCGTTTGGGGTATGTTAAACCATCTCGACGTAGTTACAAGTTCAAATCATTACTACACCTTTAGAAACCGTCGGTTAAAAAATAAACAGTACCATCTATCTGATCACAATCCCAACGGAGTTGTTCTGAATTAGTGCTTCATAGTGTTTGCTTTTAGGATTTCTATATAAATTAATAAAAAAAATAATTGTATCGCATATAATAAATTTCGGTGTTTTCAAAGTATTATCGACATTTTTCTCTATATAAATGTAATAACCCCGAATCTAGTAGAATTTGGGGGCTTTTTAAAAAATTCGTAAGCAATAATTTCAATATTATAAAAATTATTTGGAAATGATGGTTGTACCACATTTCCCCTACTCGCTTTTCACTTTATTCTATAGGACACGTCTAGCTATTAACATTAGGCGTGACGAACATCATAACGCTCACATAGATCTTACGTAGGAACTTGCGTGTAATACATGAAACAGATATATGAAGTATGTAAATATTATAGTTGTTTAATGTTATTAAGCATATTATAAAGAACTATTTACTCGACTGAATTGATGATGATTTCATATAAAATATTAATGGTCAGCCAATGAGTGCAACATCTGGTTCGGGGTATTGATTGTTGGTTAACATCTAGTATTCGACCATAATAACAAGATCTTAAGACTTATATCTGTTTGTTGTAATTCTGAGTGGTAGAGCTGGTGCTAAGCTCGCCTGGGTCGGTTACCACACTCTTGCCTTCATCAGCTATCAAGCTGATACCATCTGAGGTGAGAGGGCCAGTATTTAAGCACAAGGCTTCCCAATATCGGCCTGCGCCGGGTAGCGTTACATACACAATGGTTCCAAGACTAGTTAAGAGATTTATTAGCGGCATTTGTATATTTAGTGTTTGCCGCTGGGTTTTACCCACTAAGGGGGACCCCTTGCTGTTCTTTAGCTATATTCTTCAAGCTTAGTCTTCAATTTTCTAATAATGTCCTGTCGTATATCTTGTTTTTGTTTTTGGTCGTATTTTTTTTTTGGGTCCATGTAAGTTTTATTAATTTCGATTAAATTTAAACCCTTTTGTATGTTCTTTTACGAATATCTTTCAGTTCACAAATCAATCAGTTACGTCACCCTAATATTCGTTTAAATAGATTCCTACCTCGCGATTCAGCAATAACCTTATAAATTTATTTCTCTAACACATCTATTTGTTTCATCCTACGGACATATTTCTTGTAGATAAAAAAAATACATATATCGTTAGTTTAGGGGCTATAATTATTGGATTAGGCTAATTCTTGCTCGCTTCTTAATATTATTCGGAATTAATATCAGTTAATTTTTTGGTCATTCTAAGTCCTTTGTTTCGTTTTTAACTTAATTATTCAGATTTCTCTCGCTCTCTCAATCAATAAGTTTCATTGTCTGTTAGCTCGATACTATGTGCTATCTTTGTATTCGTTTTTGTAATTTCAATATATTTTTCGTATTATTAGGCCTCCGTTGCGCTGATCTTCGACTTATAGTTATGGGATATAGTTTCTAAAAGCCGTGTATAATGAGATTTAATAATAATATGACTGTAATACGACATATGTACATACGAAACGAGATCTTAAACCTCCCTCATTAGAACGACGCATATGTTATACCCGTTTCAGGTGGAAACTATGCTATCGTGTAAGGTTTTTTTTTTAAATTAAATAAGCGTTTAACTTGTTAATGGTTGACCGATATAATGAAATAACTTTACTAGTGTAGTTTAATTAAACCGACAGATTTGGCTAGGGTTTTTGAATGCCTGATGATGGGGTTACATCAATATTTAATGTATCTTTAATGCACATGTAATATTTTTTTATTCACCTATAGTACCTTAACTTACGCGTCGATGTTGATATCCGCGTTCGTATTATGTAAGTGAAACTGATAACACAAAATAGTAAGTAATTAATAATTATAAGATATAGTAAATATAGGATTACTCAACGTATCTTTCGTTCGGTTATTTGTTATAGTTTATTTATATAGAATAACTATTCTGAATTACTTATATTCTTTTAATAATCACATAATTTTCGTAATTGATTTATTGATTTTAATTAACGATCGATTCCTTTAAAAACTTTCGATTTGTTTGTAATTTAATGTATTTTTTTTTGTTATTTCGTATAATAATTTCCTTACTTCACGACAAATTTTTTTCTCGATTAGTTTTTTTTTTTTGGGTACGTTGTATTAAATATTAAAAGGGATAACTTTATTAGTATAGTGGAGGAAATATTAAATGTTATAAAAAAAATAATAAATCCAATAAAAAAAAAATATATACCAGAGGAAATCTTGGCGTTCACGAAAGAGTTTCTTAGTCAACAAAGATTTCCTTGTTCGGTAACTTTACCATCAAACTAAAAAAAAATCTATATTATAATGTTGTTTAATATTAGTATAGTATGTAATAGTCGATAAGTAAATAATTAGGTATAATAAGATTTTTCGTTACGTATCCAAGCTCCATAGTAAAAAGGAGTGTTTTATTTTACAGTTTTTCAATGAATGCTACTTAATAGTACATGAAGATGGAATTAATGCCTGAATTAGTTTGTAAGTGATAGTATATGGTAGACGCGTATTATTGTATAGAGTTGATTCTCTATTTTTTTTCGAATTGGACAAAATAAACTTTCTCCTATCCATTGATTTAGATTTCAAAGTTACGCTGAATTTTTTATTTGCTATTATTATCGTTCAGGCGTTATATTTGTTTATTTGCACGTAGGTTCATCTATAGACGAGATGATTAGCTTAAGAAGAGGTATATCTATGTACATGAACATGATTCGACGAATAAGAACGGAAATTAGCCAGTCACATTGATCGCGGTCCGTCGCAAGGCGGGTAATGTACATAACGACAGTGTGGCTGGATTAAGGCTAGGTTAGTTTAGTTTAATTACAATCCCATGAAAGACTACTTGAATAATTCATTAATAATCTAACATTCGTTCATTATTAATTTAATTCTAAATCCTTTTAATGTTCTTCGTATTATTTACATTACTCACTTTTCAAGGTTTAGTATTTCAGTCTTCGCATATGATTTCAAATGTTTTACGAATTTTTGTTTCATCTTCAATTCAATTTTTTTTCTATACAAGGACTCGTTCATGAGATTTTTCATAGAAAATAAGTTAGAAAGAGCGTATATAAAGAAACCACATTAAGGAAATAACTTTATAGCCGTAAGTTCGTTATAGATAGTTTTAATTATAGTATTTTTGATCCCGAAATGTAGGGAATATATGTTTCTATTTCATAGGTTAAAAAACTGAGTAACCCCATCTAATACCGTAGTGTGTACATACTTCTAGTTATATGGTAGTGTGTTTAATCAAATGTAATATTTCTCACTATTACTCTCGACTTTAAACTTTCATGTCTTATTTGGTAACTTATGAATTCTCGTTTCTATTCTTATCTTTTGGGTTGGGGGTTGATGATATTGGTTTGGGGGCTGGGGGTTGGGGACATCAATATAATGTAACGGCAGATGAAAGGAGGCAGGGGCCAATTGAAGTAACACATGCGAATTTTCAAAGGGATCTTACGATCCATACATATATGAATACGCGGAGCGGAGTAATGTAGGAATAGGTACGTTCCAAGCGGGTTAAATTTAGGACGATGAGGGGAAGGAATTTGGGAAGGATTGGGGGGCTTAGATCGAATAATGCTGAACATCGTATTGTAAGAAGTGGGGTAGAGAGCTGTTAGGTTTGCTTCCATCTAGAAGGAAAAGAACTGGTTATGACTATATCTGGTTAGAATTGATGAAGATTGGGGGGCGGGGGAGTGTTTGGAAGGAGAGGAGGGGGGGTAGTTATTTGTTCAGCATTTGGAGGGTAACTGTCGCGTATAAAGGGACTTTGAAGTTACTGTCAATAAGTTTTGACT